AAGCGCTTCCGTGTCCAGGGAACGCAAGTTCGTCTGCGGATCAAAATGCGACCGAGTGATGTTCGCACTCGTGTATGTGTATATGCATGATGGCTGTGCTGATCGTGGCACGGTCGTGGTGCTGGTGTTGACGACCGGGTATTGGTGATGGCCATGGTGATTAGACCGATGATCACGTGATGCTCTAAGTGGCGAGAACTCAAAAGGGGCCTTTTTTCCTAAGCAGCCTGGCAACACTATGTTTATGGGCAATGGCCAAACCGTGCAGGCGTTGCTTCGCTGAATTTGTAGGGGGGGACTTCAAGGCCCAGAAGGGACGTCCAGGTTTTGAGTAGTTGTAGGATGGATCCCACCTAGACCGAGAATTACCGAGATACTTCGAGTTCGTGCCCAATGCAGCCTCAAAAGTTGCTGCCAGCAAGCTGCATGCCCCAAACCGAGAAACACCGCGCCCTGCACTTCACGGAAAGATAAGGGACGCGAACGTCCGCCGTTCGGTCCTTTGGGAGTTCCAAGTTGGCTTTCGGAATTTGAGGCATACGGGGCTTCAGGCTCAAAAGCTCAACTTCCCGAATTCTCATGGTTTGTAGTTGTTTATCGATCGGTTTGCTCCATCTTCGCAAATTCTCTAGGACTCTAGTCTCTTTCGCTTGGTTTCTTCTCGGTTTTCAAATTCTCTAGTTTCTTTCGAGTGGTTTGCTCCATGTTCTGAAATGCACGCTTTGTTCTCAAATTGACCAGTCTCTTTCCAGCGGTTTGCTCCTTGTTCTCATATTCTCCAGTCTGGTTTGTTCCTTGTTCTGAAATTCTCCCAAGGCGTTGAGGGCCTTGTCACCCGATGCATGGTTTCGCAGCCGAAGCTCGTGCACCCGGGAAGCATCTAAGACTTGGGCCCTGAATTGGTAGGGCCTAGGGCTGCCAGGGCTTACTGCTTGTGCTTTCGAGTTCTGTCAAGTCAGCCCACCCCAGCACCATAAAGATGCCAAAAAGATCGATAAAAGCACACCGACCCCGAATCCCCGTGCATCGTTTCGTGTTCCTCTACACGCCTCCTCGTGAACCCTAAGTGTTGCCACCTGATGAACGACAGCCTTGGGGACGGAAGCAAGGCTCCTCACCTCCGTGGTTTAGGTGGGACATTCTATGCTTGCCCCGTGTTCCACAGCAGGAAAGACCCTGGACCCTGAACCCAAATCACGACCTATCTGCAGCTTTATGTCCTGGGTTTGAGGGTTTCAGGATTCACAATGAGAACCCTGGACGGACCCTGGACACAAACCTTAGAGGCTCTTCTACTTTTTTGGCAAGGTTTTGCTAGACCTTCGGGGAGCTCTTAGGAGGTTCGCGATGAAGAAGCCGAAATCGGCAACTATCTGTCTATGCTTCTTTCTGCCTATACGCGTATATGATGCCAGCCGGGTTAGAGGTTCCAGCCCTGACCGCATTGCTACCATCCCGAGACCTTCCTTAGCTTGGCATCTTTCTCAGGGTGCGGGTTTTCATGCGGCGTTGCTTTGCCAAAGGGGCTTGTCGTGTGTGTGCGCATGCGGCAAAGCAAGAACTGGATGAACAAACAAGCCATGATTGGAAGGGCCTCAGGTTTTTCAACTCACTGGCTAATAAGGCTTATAAACATCCCAAAAACTCCACCACCCCCCTCCCCCCCTCTCCCAACTGGGCCATTGTAGAAGAGGGTTTGTAAAACCCTCTTCTTCTTGTAAACACCGTTTCTGAAGACCTCTTCTGCTACTGTACTACCGCTCTATTTGTCCAAACCTTGCGACTGAATCCGGTCCCGGGTTCACTCGTGGACCTTGGCGACCTTGACAGCGCGGGGGAGGGAGGGGGGCGGGGGCTGGTCTGTTTGTCGCGCTCAGATATCCGGTAGGCCTATAAGCTCAGGAGTTTGGACTATACTAGAAGGCGCGGAATCCTGAACGTGAAGTCCCATTTCTATGTGAGGCATTCCCGCCATGTCCACAAGGCTGGACTTGCCTCTCCTAGGTTAAGTTTGGGCGAGTTTTATGACTGAGGGTTTAGGTCCAGATTTTAGCGGTTGGACGCTTTGCCGGAACATGCTTCGAGGGCTCGGTGAGTGTGGATTCAGGGGTAGTGTAGGAACCCTAAACCTTACTACCTGATACTACCTGTCAGCCTGTTGGTTTCGCATATATATATATATATATACCGTAGAAAAGGCCTCAACATGCCTCAGCCTGAACAGTAGACCCCAATGCCGCGCCAATGCCCAAACTGACAAATTGCACACTCCCTTCTATCAGATCCCGCAAAATTGCAATGCCCTTGTCTGCGCTATTCTTAGACACTGTCGTGTGAGGTCAGGGTTAAGGCGTTTGGGGTCGGAGGTTTAAGATGTGTCACGCCGCCTGGTACAATACAGGTTTTCGCAGACATTGAGCACACAGTGCAAAACTGACAAACTCTAGGACTCTAGGCCACCAAAAAAGGTTCAATGCATTGAGTCCACAGGGCTTCAGCGGACGCTTTTGCAGGCATTCGGTTTAGGGTTTAGCCCCATGCATCCTTTTTGACTTATGGTCTCTTTGAGGGGTATTGGATCTGGCAGGGAATATGCAGTGGTAGGCCCGAGTGATACCGCCCACCACGTCGGCTCGGGTGAAACTTGTGGTCCCACAACGGACACTGGAAGGAAGCGAGCCCTGTTGTAAAACACGTGCCTGCATCGTAAGTGCACTCCAGCCTCGACCCCTGCGAACACTGTTCAGCCCTGGAGCCCGAAGCCCGGAGTTGCAACAACTGATGAACACGTGCTGCATGCCAATAGCCACAAGCCTGACCAGGACCAGGACGACGGGTACGTGGAGTCGCGCGATCACCGGGACACGACGATGCTTGGAAACCAGGCTTGGTGGGAAATCGGCTGTACTGTCAGGTGCTAGCAGGCATGATGTTGAGAATGAACCTTACTACCATGTACATGAACTCCACTACTACCACTGCCACTATCGCTACCTTAACTACCGCTATCGCTACCACAACCACCGCTACCACTACAACTGCCCCTACCACTGTCAATGCGAGAACCACTGCCACTACAGTGCCACTGCTGCTACCACTGCCATGGCCGCGGCCGCGGCAACCACCAGCGCCGGCACCGGCACCGGCACCAGCACCAGCAGCAGCAACAGCAGCAGCACACCAGCGCCAGCACCAGCACCAGCACCAGCACCAGCACCAGCACCAGCACCAGGACCAGCAGCAGCACCAGCACCAGCACCAGCAGCAGCAGCAGCAGCAGCAGCAGCAGCACCAGCAGCACCTCCACCAGCACCACCACCAGCACCACAGCACCAGCAGCACAGCAGCACAGCAGCACCCGCACCAGCACCAGCACCGGCACCAGCACCAGCACCAGCAGCAGCAGCAGCAGCAGCAGCAGCAGCAGCAGCAGCAGCAGCAGCAGCACCACCAGCAGCAGCGGCACCAGCAGCAGCAGCACCAGCAGCAGCAGCACCAGCAGCACCACCACCAGCACCACAGCACCAGCAGCACAGCAGCACAGCAGCACAGCAGCACAGCAGCACAGCAGCACAGCAGCACAGCAGCACAGCAGCACAGCAGCACAGCAGCACAGCAGCACAGCAGCACCAGCACCCGCACCGGCACCAGCACCCGCACCAGCACCAGCACCAGCACCAGCACCAGCACCAGCACCAGCACCAGCACCAGCAGCAGCAGCAGCAGCAGCAGCAGCAGCAGCAGCAGCAGCACCACCACCACCAGCACCAGCAGCGGCACCAGCAGCACCAGCACCAGCACCAGCAGAACAGCACCAGCACCAGCAGCGCCACCACCACCAGCACCGCTACCACAGCCACCACCCACCAGCCACCCACCGAAAAACCGCCGACCGCCAACAACCCACACCTGCGAACCCGCCACCTGCCACCCTTTTCACCCGACACGGCCGCCCCCGCCACCCTCCCACCGTCGCCGCAACCCCCGCCACATCCCGCGACCACCACCACCCACCACCCACCACCACCCAGCCGCAACCGAGACCTACTGTTACAGTACTGGCCGCCGACTACTCAGACTACTCCTTTCACGGCTAAGCTGCCTAAAGGCTTGGGGTCTTTGCTCTGGATGTGAAACTGTCGAAAGACACTTTGCATAGTTGAGGATTCCTGTTCATAGTTCCGCCATCTTTAATTGGGCATTAGGAATTGAAATTCAGCATCCCTCTCAAGCCGGAGCCCCTGCACAGCCTCGATACTCCCCTCAGCCCAAGTCCGAAGCAGTTTTTGTTATGTCACGCCCCAAGCAAGAGTTTTTGCCACGACCCAGCATCCTCCAGGTGAACAGGTCCGGAGGGGGCTTTCCGAAGCAGGCTGGAAACGCAACGGAGCAGGGAGCAGGAACACAAATTCGGAGTTCGCACTGTGCGCGCTACGCCATGAGCCCCGAAAACGAAGAGCCTTCAGTGGTCCGAGAAAGACTTGAAGCTTCCACGTTTGCAGAATGCGATCTCAATATTAAGGATTTCATTCATTCGAGTCCATATCGAGGTCGGGGTCCCTTCTCTTCTGAAGCTCCTTGGGATACTCACTTTTGATTTTGGTTGGTGATACATTGTTCATCGGTTGCCGATCGCCGTCGTCTCCAATCTGAATGTTGACGGCACTTTCTTGCATTTCACACGTGATAGGTGGTTTCTGTTGGAGCACTGTGGGGCTTGGAGGGGGGTTGAGGCTTGCAGGGTGTTCGGGTCATTGCTCGTTTATTTTGGATTCAGGCGTAGGTTCGTTTTGCCTATTCTTTCAACAAGGGATCAGGTTCAGGGTGCGGGTTGGGGGTTCGAGCTTCGCAGGTTGGAAGACCTTAGCTGTGGTTTATGTTGCAGACCTCTATTCCAAAGCTTAGCCAGCAACCCATGCGCTAGACCATCGTTATAAGCTGCATTGGCGGCCCAAGAAGCGTTGCGCATTGAGCAGGATGCGGAGGGCCGTGAGTTAAAGATGGAGGTGAGCTTCAGTGAGTACAAGGCCGAGAGGGCTGTAGACTCAGAGCTGAAGGTCTAAGGTTCATTCAGGTGTCATAGCATTTGTGGGATTTCGAAGTCAAGATTGAGGGTTGACTGTCTGTGCGTGCCCTTGTTTTTTAAGTGTCAGCACGGTGTGGTTTTGGCATTGCTGGCACGACTCTGTTGAGTTGTACAGAGTTTCCAAACAGTTCTCTTCTCTTGTGCTCTTCGACCCAGGGCTTCTTCGGGGTCTCCAACTAAGTTAAGTTCCTCTTCCAATGAAGATACCTTGTACAGGGTTCACACTCAACTTCAGCTTCAGACTGGAGGCCCCGTAGATGCTACGAATGCAGAACAATGGCGACAGATTCTTGAAATTGACGCCCGCCGAGCTTTCGGTTTGGGGTGCCGGAAGCCAGCTTCCAATCACCTTGGAAAGCGGATGTAGGGAGGGCGCTCGATTCGCCTGGTTGTCCACCCCCAGCCCTGTCAAAGGCGGACGGTGCAGGGCCCTTGCGCTTCTATCATTGCTTTGGAAGAAGAGCCCGCAGTCTAAGTGCCCTTGTGCCCGGAACCTCCCAAACCCTGCATGCATGATTAGTGGTAGCTTCTCTTCAATGGAGCACGCTTAAAACTCACGAAATCTTCACGTGCGGTTTGAACCCTGCCCTCTGAGCCCTCTTGGCCCTCGGCAACCCGAACGAGACCCCAACTCTGTGCACCCACTTGTTGTGAGAAGTTATAACGTACCAAACCCCAGGCCTTCGGCCTGCCAAGTTTTGCTCGTGTGCCGGAGGATACGCAGCAGTTCGACCTGCAGGAGTCTCCTGAGGCGGCTCCCCCGGGGCTGATCCCAAGGCCGGGGGTTCGGTATACAGGATTTTGAGTTGGCGACTTTGGCCTTAGGCCATATAGGCCTAAAGCTAACTACGGCTTCAAGGGAGTCTGGGCGAGGGATGGATTTGGTTTTCAACTTTACTCGCAGTTTGTGTTTAGGCTTTGAGATTGCGGGCTTGTGGTTTCGGGATGTAGGAATGTAGGCTTTGGTGATCACAATAAAGTAGGGCCGGAATAAGTAGTAGCAGTATTCCTTCGGGTTCACCACTCTTTTCCTCATGGTGTCGTATGCCCAAAGTCACTTTAAGTCTGTTTACTTGAATTGAGTGAGGGGTCAGTGTCCGGTAGGGTTCAGAAGTCGGACGTAAGGCGTGCAGCGGTTCAGTGGTGGGCGAATGGCGACTCGGCAGTTCGGTTAGGCAAGATGTACGAGTCAGTGCACCCATCTATCCCCCAAACCGAACCCTGAAACCCTCAAATCCCAACTCCTCCCCACGAAACCCAAGGCCTTGCAAGCCGGGAGCTGGGGCTGTGAAGGTCAATCCAGGTCCTCTGCGACGGAGATCTTTGCGACAAGGCTGGACCTCAGGGTTTATAAGCCTCTAAATTTCGGGTTTAGGTTGTTCGGGTTCTTCATGGTTGGCGGAGGGTTTATGACTCAGAGTCTTCTGGACATTACAGGTGTACTTGCGGGTCAACCTTCGCTTTGGAGTCTTCATGATTTTCTTAGGGGCTGTGGAGTTAGTAAAGGGTGTGGGAGTTGCAAGCTGCAAGAATTTGGAGTTTCCGGGGTTGCGGACTGAGTGCTGATAAAGGCTTAACGTTTGTTCTTACGGGATTCGCAACGAGGCTTGAGAGTGACGGGGTTTGGGAGCCGAAGTGTTGGAGGCTTACGAATACGAATATGTTTAGGCCCCAACAATCCTCAGTCCTAAACACTTCAGGGAATCAGCACCCCGGAAAGAAGCTATACCCGGTACCCTAACCCGAGAACCCCAAGCCAAGAATCGCTGCCTAAGCACCACGCCATCAAGAGAAGCCTACGCCACAACCCCGGATTCCAGCAACTCCATTAACTTCAACCATGAACACCTTGAACTCGGCAAGTAAACTAAGTAAACCCAACGACCCTCTCCGAAGCTTTGCGCACAGCGTTGGCATCCAAGACCGCTTTGAAGACCGCGTTGAACCCAGCTCCCCATTTACTTTCGAACGTTCAACTGCCGGACCTAGCAAGCCGTCTGGAGTAGTTGCAGCCACTGCTTCGGAACAACTCGAAGAACCGCACTGGACGACCTCGGAACAGCTTGAAACTCCGATGTCTGAGGCCAAGCCGGGAGACCGAGTGCAGGTCATTGGAGTCTTGAAGGGCTTTCCACCGCCTATGCAGGCCGTCTTGGGCTTTTGTTCCTGTGAGCGGGACATGGCGGTGGCAGGGTATTTAGCCAGGTTGTGCTGCTTGATGGACGGGGTCTATGAGAGTCTGTGAGTCTATGAAGGCTTTATCCGCGGCTGCAAGACAACGTCAAGCTTTTGATGGCATTCTAAGTTTAACCTTTCCCGAACCCCTGCTTCGAGGATTCCAAACTTCTGCTGAGGGGTTCAGAATTTTCGGCTGAAGGGCTCGTGGAGCTTGGGGCTCATAGGGTCGAGGGCTGATGAGGTGGATTCGGCTCCCAGGGGTTTGGTTGCCGAGTCTTGGTTGAACTGTGTCATTAGAGCATCACTCCTGTTGACGGCTTTGCTTGCATGCCCCAGCCTGTATCGAGTATCGGGGTTTAGGGATTCAGGGTTGGAGGCATTGTGTTGTTTTGGTCCGCTTTTAGTCGTGGTGGTACATGTTCAAGGAAGAGCCTGAGGAAAGCGACGCGACATGGGTCACGTCAGCATTTGCTTATTTCTTCTTCCCGCACCCCTAAACTCTAAACCCTAGCTGATTGCAAGCCCAGCCCATGCTTGGAGTTCCCTGTGGTCGTGCTGGCAAAGGCCTTAGACTGTTGGAACTCTTGGGGTGGCTTGATTCCTGTGTAAGCCAAACCCCACATTCCTCAAAGTGTTACCCTTTTTCCTCGGCTACACCCCCTGCACCTCTAAACTCTCAATCCTAAAGCCTTTGTTTCTTCCTTAGCCCTCGGCCTCTGAACCGTTATTAGCTAAACCCTCAAATCGCAAATCGAAGAACTCTACGACACATGCTACAATGTTGCAGAAGCCAGCAGACACGACCACCATCCCGGACGTACTGTAAACTCCCACAGTCGGCTGTTGTAGGGATTAGGGTGCCGATGGATCTTGAACTCTGTATCCGCAACCTGAAGCCGAAAACCTACCTGACAAGTAGCTACGGCCTTGACATGGTTTATCTTTCAGGGTTTAAGGCGAAGCTGAGCCCGAAGACCTCCGCCTCACGCTCCACATATCCTATGCCCAAGCTTAGCTCGCCGCACGAGTGTCGTGGCCAGGATTTCACGGACGGCGTGTTTCCAATCAAGCTGGTGCCTGCCTTATGCTGCAGATCTCTTGGGTACAAGGGCTGTTGTTGGGTGTTAGCGCTGGAGGGATGCCTACCTTCTATACACTGTAGGGTTTAGGAGAGTATGGAGAGTAAGATTTCACGATGATGAACGTTCGGATGTTTAGGGTGACACTCTGCTTTAAGGGTGGAGTTTGGATCTTAGAAGTTTGGTTTTGTGTTTTGGGCTGTGACTGGGAGATTTCACGGCATTTCACGGCCCTAGACCGGCAACTCCAACCTAAATTCACGAAGACCCGCATTTGGCTGAACGTTGAAGAGGCCTAATGGAACAGTCTCAGTACTTGGCAACATCAGCATACTGTAGGTATTCGGGCACCGAGCCTGTCGGGCTATCCGTTGGATCATGTCGGTGGAGGTGTTCATCAGCCTCGAAATTTTCCGAGTGGTTCAGACCTCTCTAAGTCAATATTGACAGCCTGAGCTGGCCTGAACCCTTGGATGTCTCCACCCTCGTAGGTTCAAATTCAGGTCACATTTGCCCACGACCAACACAAGAACAGAAAAGGCAGCCAGAAGCCCCGAAACCCAAGCTACGCAAGACCGGGATAGTGTAATGACTGGTCGCCCCGCAATCAACTGAAGCAAAGCATCTGCAGCAACCACGCCAAGCAAATGCGCGGCAACAGCAAAAATATACCCTTCACGGAAAAGGCAAAATGTAATGCAACCAAGGACTTCAATCACTTATCGGAGGTTTCTGTCTAACCCACAAGTTGAGTGCTTGCCTGGAGGTTGCAACCAGTATCACCTCCGTCAAAGAAATCGTCGAGGGCCAGTTTGTTGCTGACGATGCCAGGGGCTTGGCTATGTGCCAACCATGA